TGACTAACAAGATCAGAAAAGAACACATTCTTAAGCAAGGGTGGGGGGGGGGAGAAGAGGCAACCTCCATGCTCTCTGTCCCACGCCATGGTTGATTTCCCGACTCTCAGAAGCCTCCAGCAGCCTGTACTGGCTGCTTTGAGGTTGCCCTGGCCAAAGAAAGTAGCTGTGTGAAAATTTCTGGCCTGAGACATGCAGAGACTCAGCTGAGAGGAGCTGTTTCCACCCTCCCCTTCCCACAGTCCCCCTTTCTGCTTCAAGAACAGGGTCTGTGCCAGAGATGGTCCAACCACATCAAGAAACACATCTTCCTGTTTCTGTGGCATATGTCTTGTCCTTAGTTTCCAGAGCCCTCCAAGAATAAAGCCTGGAATATTCCCACCCATTTCCAGTTCACAAGGGCCCCACTATTAATTTTGTCCTTGAGACCCTCAAAACTGCTCCAGTCACTTTTTTCCAACCTTATTCCCCTTAAGCTGCAAGAAAAGCTAAAAGGCACAGTCCTGATGGAGAGAAGAACAAAAGCTCATCCTGTAGTTTTCATCCTGTGGCAAGAAAGTAGCCTTCTTAGGGAAAAAGTGAGAGTAGTGAGGAATAACTCCAAACTAGATATGGGGCACAGAAGAAGGGCTGTGTTATAATCTATAAGTCTGTTCTCCTCACCATGGAACTTGGAGAGGCACTGGGGCCCAGCTCTGCACTTCTCCAGCCTTAGGATCAGATGCTACTGAGGAAACAGCCCTACAGAAAGCCTAGCACCAACATAGACGGACCAGCCGTCGGAGTTCCCCAAATCCAGTGGGGGTGGACTCATCTACATTCCCCCACATGTCCAGTCTTCCCCAAGTGGGTGGGGAGACCCACAGAGGTGCAAGGGAAAGTGGATGGGGTTCTTCATCCTCAAAGTCTTTGATACTTGTCTGTGTGTATGTGTGTGTGTACATTTATATATACCCATATAGACAAAAAGCAAACCACCTTACCCAACCAAGTGACTCTCAGTGCCAAGTAGCACAAACAAATGTGGAGATTGTGGGGTGAGATGGGAGACATGAGAAAGATCTCCTCTACAGTTCACAGTTCCGTTGGTGGGGGGGGGAGGATTGGGGGAGGGGAGCAAAGCAGCATACAGACTAAATACAGATTCCCCTCTCACCCCTTTCTCTCTGCTTTCCCTTCCCAGCCCCCCCCTTCATACTGATGGGATAGTCCACGGCTGCTTCAGTCCCATTGCCCTGCAATTCTCACAGACAACTGAAAGAAGAAGGCAAGGCTGTCGGGCTGTTGGTAAGGTGCATTATCTGCTAAGCATCACAAGGATTCTGCCAAGGGGAACCCTCTGTTCACAACAGCCGAACCCTGGTGACTGGACCAACAGTGAATGGATCCAACTTTTGGAAAAACCCAGAGCTCCTGGCTCTGCAGTCTAGAGCTTTTGCCTGCTCACAGCCCAGCCCCACCTGCTGGCTCTCAGGAAACAGCATAAGAACTCAAAGTGTTAGTTAACCCTAGCGCTTCAGGGCTCTTAACCCTTAGGAGCCCAGCAGGAAAGAAGGCATGGGGATATAGGAAAGAAGCTGAAGGGAGGTTTGAGGGAGGGGGAACCCACTAGAAGAGAGAAAGTGAGGGCTAGAAAGTGAGCAATTAATAGCACAAATTCCTGCAGCAGAGAAAAAAAAAGAAGAAAAAGACAGGGAAAGGGGGCCTGAAGAGCTGAAAAAAAAAGCAGCAGAAAGAAATTAAGTCAAGACTCACACGTCTACATTTTAGGGTCTGTATAACCTTCCCCCATTTAATACAAACAGAAACTGAGGCTTAGAAAGGTTAAGAGACATGTGCAAGGTAAGCCTCAGAAATACTGAAGAGCTGAGCACAAGTTTGTTTGCAAGGGTCCATCTTTCCACTAAACGGCAAGCCTCTGAGAAGAGGGGGCAAGGTAGAGGCCTGCGAGCAGGGAAGGGAGCGGGGAGTCAGGAAGAAGGTACAGCCGTGCTACCTGATTCTCTGCGCATGAGGACAAAGTCTGGGTCACACCCAGGACACCAGGCTTCTCTCTGGTCCCAGCTCTAGTCCACAAGGGTCTCTTGACTATAGGGAATAGATTTCTCATGCACCTGCTCTCCTCCCTTCCCCGCGTTGGGGCCAGGACCCTGGCTGTGCCCAGAAGAATAACTGGCAGACTTCTCCCCGCTGCTGCTGTGAGGGGGGCCTTTGCACCCACTCTCATCGCAGCAGAGCATGGAGGTGCAAGCCTGACGAAACCGAGGGTCAAAGAAGGCGTAGAGGAAGGGGTTGAGGCAGCTGTTGACATAACTGATGCAGGTGCAATAGGGAAAGACGTTCATGAGGAAGCTGTCAAAGTCGCAGGGCCAGTGCAGCAAATTGCCCAGCATGTAGAGAGTCTTCACCAGGTGGTAGGGCATCCAGCACAGGGCGAAGCTCACCACCAGCACCACGATTATGCTCAGCAGCCGGCGCCTCTTCCGCAGGCCCTCGATGCGCTCCTTTCGGAAATGGCCGGCGATGGTTTGGGCAATGAAGAAGTAGCACGTGAGCATGATGGTGAAGGGCACCACGAAGCCTGCAGCGGTGGATGACACCCCAAGGCCCACCTCCCAGGCCCACTCAGAGTCTGAGGTGGCCACCATGGAGTAGTCCATGTAACACTGGACCTTGGTACTGTTTTCCATGTTGCCGGTTGAACGGAACACCATGACAGGCACAGCCAGAAGGGCAGCCAGCACCCAAAGGACTGCCGTAGCCACGGCCCCGCTGACCCGCAGCCTAAGCCGAGCATTGGCCACTGGCCTGACGATGGCCAGGTATCGGTCAAAGCTGAGGCCGGTGAGGCAAAAGACACTGGCATACATGTTGACAAAGATGAGGTAGCTGCTGAGCTTGCAAGAGAAGGTTCCAAAGGGCCAGTCAAATTCCCGGTAGGTATAAGTGGCCCACAGTGGCAAAGTCACCACAAAAGTCAGGTCGGCCACGGCCAGGCTGGCAATGAAGATATCAGCTGAGCGCCTCTTTTCCCGGCTGCTCCGGAACACGGTCCAGAGCACCAGGCCGTTGCCTGTGGTGCCCAGAAGGAAGACCAGCATGTAGATGGCAGGGATGAGGGCGCCCGAGGGTGTCCAGTCTGCGTAGTCACATTCAGACTGGTTGTCATAGTCGCTGTAACCATCGTCTTCCATGGTGGTGGATGGAGTGAAGTTAGGCAGGGAGTCCCGGGGACACCAGTTCCGGAGCTGTGCCACCAACTCAGCAAGCGCCCTCAAGCCTTGGCTTGAGCCTCAGGGTAAGAGGTCCGAGGGTGCTTAGAGCCGCTCCCGGCATGCAGGACAGCCCCTCTGGAAGCCTGAACCCAGCAGATGTACCTCCTTCTTCAGCAGCTTTTCTCTACCTTCCCTGTCCTACCCCAGCTCAGCGAAGACGCTTCCTTGCACCCTCCTGAGTCTCTGTCTCCTCCTAAACTCCCCCTCCCTCCTCCCACCCCTAGGCCAACCCTTTCCTCTCTTAGTGGGTCTTAAGATCTTTAAGTTACAGCCCACTTTTTTTTTCCTCCTTGCCACTGGGTAAGTAGACTAAATTGACCCCTCCTGTGCTGGGCTGACAATTATCTGTGCTTCCCAAGCCTCCTGCCCCTCCTGGCTCCACCTCTTCCCTCAAGCTGCCACCAGCCTTCTCCCCAGACTCTTACTCTGCTTTCCTCTGGCCACCACCTCATGACTGCCTTTAGGGGGTACCATTCTGCCTCCTCAGCCTTTCCCCTCCTGTTCTCACCCTCTCCCAACCCTTCTAAATGAGACAAATTATGCAGATTGAAATCCAGTTTGACCTGAATCCAGGACAAGCATGGGGCAGAGAAAGGGTGTGATATTTCACAGGGGGATCCCAGCATCTGGATGGTCCCTGCTGCTCCTACACCCCCACCCAGGTGAGACCCTGGGACTTGTTGCTCTTTCTTCATTCCTCTCTATGACTTGGCTTCAACCCTCTTTCTGAGAACATTGGTATTTTGCAGACAAAAGCATAATAAAACTCTCCTATAGCACATAAGCTGCTGGTAGTTTGCAGATAGAGTTGTTAGAAAGTTGGTGACAGAGTCAGAATATGAGAGAAACCAGGACAAAACCTAGCCACATCATTAAATCTATGGGGAAACCGAGGCTAAAGGTAAGTGTCTTACCAAAGATCGCAGGGTAAATTTGGTTGTGGTCGGTTGTTTCCTTTTCTTCTCCTCTAAGCACACATGGAACACAGTTCTAGCATGTCTTCAGGGCTCTTTGATTGTTGACTGAATAAGCAAATGGACGAATTAGGAAAGGAGAAGAATAAATATGTAAGTTACTATGTGGTAAGAGCATGAACTCAGTTCAGTCCTTGGGTTCTTACCAATAGCCAGGGGCCAGGAGGTTTCCTAAGACCACATAGGGCCAGGAAGCTGAGTTAGAGGAGGATGCAGAAAAAGAAACAGCCCAGACCAGATGGTGTACTCGCCCTCCCATCTGGCCTCTTCTTCAGGACCTCTGCAGGAAGAAGGAGGACACATGCACAGATAAGGGTTTTAAGTGCATCCTCTCTACCTCACCCCCAAGAGTGAGGGGAGACACCTGAATTCAGGCAGGAAGATCACAAGCTAGCTAAATAGTAAAACGTGAGACACTGGAGTACACACACACACCCATTGGAGGTGGGGGATGGAAGATGGGAAGGAAGAGAGAAAGAGGAAGAGAAAGAAAAAGTGAGAAAGAGAGGGGGGAAATTTTTGGGCTAGAGTGAAATGGACCAAAACCAAGCCTTAGTCATCTATGGCCCAGGGCTTACAAAGCTGACAAACACTTCCTGGAAAAAAGCATTTGTCAGTAAACATCCCATGGGGATCTTCAAGTAGACACAGCCAGATACCTGCTGGATAAAAGAAGCATGTGTTCAGGCACAGCAGCCTGTTTGTGACAACAGAACTGTGACAAAATGGAGTTTGTCCATCCCAGGTCACTGGGCAGGCAGTGCGCATGCCTGCTGTAGTTCCAGCTGTTTGAGAGGCTGGGGCCAGAGGATCCCTTGCACACAACAGTTCAGGGACCTGGGCAACACAGGCTTTGTGTCAAATAAAACAAAATAAAAACAGACAGGGGGCCTCCTTCATTCTGGTCTGTGGTTGCCAGGCAAGGGTACTGACTAGCATTACTCCACCTCAAGAGTTTTCAAGACAATGTCCAATTCTGAACGTTTATCAGAAAGTTCCAGATTGATTAACCTGGGGAATTAGTTCTATACTTTCAAAGAAATGTAGACTAGATGACAAGCATTGTGGTACACGCCTACAATCCCAGCACTTGAGAGGCAGAAGCTGAAGATGCCGTGAGGGCCTGAGTTCATATCCTCAGCCCCCACATAAAAGCAGGAAGGACAACACAAATCTGTAATCCAGCACTGGGTAGAGCAGAGACAGAGAGACCCTTGGGCCTCACCAGCCAGCCAGGTTAGCCAGGTCAGGTCCAAGTCCAATGACAGGCCCTAGTCAAAAAACAAAGTGCCAAAGCTATTGAGATTAACACACTAACATCAAACCCTGGCCTCCATATGCACATGTGAGCAACCTGCACACATGTATACACAAACATACACCACTCACACACATGCAAACACACTCTCACACAGAACTTAGGAAATATATGCTCTTATTTAGCCTGGGCCGAAAGATGAGGAAACTGAAGCACAGGGAAGGTAAAGCAGCTTGTTCCCTGACCCAACAAATAAATAAAGGCCTTCAACGCTTCTAAAATTGGGATTGTTGTTATAGAGATACAGGAGTGTGCAGGAGAGCTGTGATTTATGGATCTGCCATTGCCAGAGACAGCACCTGTTTGCTGTGCTAACTGAGATGATGGCAAGACTCTGCCTCCAGAACATTCTACAGGGCAGTGGTCACACCCCAGCTCTACCGGGAGCCAGAGCTTTGCCAGCCTCGTGGTGCGTGAGCCCACTTGCTTCTCCTGGACAGAGGGAGAATGATGGTGTGGACGAGGACAGGTAGTTAGTCCTCAGCCACTTCAGATCTCCTTGCCTATCAGGAGGGTCCGATGAGTTGTGTAGGGAGCAATTTTCTCAAGTCAGATAAGGATAGAGAGTAAACACTCAGGCTGTAGCCATTCCAGGATAAAGTCTGGTTCTGATATCATGAGCAATCACACATACTTCTTTTTTCGCTTCCAGAAAGATCCAGGAGCAACCTTGGACAGCTGAGGCCATAGAAAGAGGGAAACAGGGAAGTGAGCAGTAGCCTTGAAATCAACTTGCTGTCTCTCTCCCCCAGCTGTCCTGCTTGGATTCCAAGCCAGATGCAAGCCCAGAGTTCTCCACAGGAGAAAATATGGATGCATTTCTTTAATTGTCTGTCTCAATAGAAAGGGAAGGGAATTTGGAGCCAGGGATTGGACAGGGGCCAATGATCTGTGCCTGGACTGGTAGAGTGCTGATAAGACCCAGCCTCCAGCGCAGAGGCCAACTGGAGCCAGATGGCCTGAGTGATCCCAACACTGATGGCCAGGCTCACTCCTCACCCAGCTTGGTGCTGATCCATCCCTGCCTCCCACTGCTCTTCTCCATCAGAGAAGATGCAGCAGAACAGAACTGAGGTTGAAGAGCAGCCTGGGTGGCCAAGACTCCAAGGCTGCCCAAATACACACACCCAGTCCAGAGACTGATATCTGTCCATCACCCAACCTCTGTTTAGCCCCTAATAAATGTCTGTTGAATTAAAATATTAGGGATGTGCTCAGAGGTAACACATGGGTAACTTTCTGCAAAGTGATCCAAAGTGACATACTTGCAGCCATGGGGTATAAAAGCAGAAGCTGAGGCAGTGTCATCGGCCTGAGTCCCCAGGGCTAGCTAGCCCAGAAGAAGAGCGAGCAGGTTTCCTAGGGCGCTTCTCTCTCCTAGGTGATTTCTGGCAGATATTGTGACAAGTCAGAGATAAACAGTTTCTGGCAGAAAGTGCCTGGGACTTGTTCCATGCTCTTTGAGTAGAGCCAACTCTGCTCGGAGAGTGAAAATTCTACAGTAATGGGTTCAGAAGTCTCCCCCAACCTTGCCCACAGGCTGACTCCTCACCTAGAAAGCACAGGCAGCCTTGGCCCTTTGCTGGGCGCACAGTGCACGTGCACTTAGTAAGTGCAAGGTTCGCACAAGATGTTAGGGTCTGGAGCTCAAAGAGGAAAACACCCCTGACTCAGACAGTATGCAAAATGCATCTAGTGCAGAGCGCTGTAATCTGCAGAAATCCAGCATGCAGGGATCATCATTCAGGCAAAATGGCAACCCCGGGGTGGGCTCATGGTCCCAATTTAAAGCCAGTTGGGGGATTTCCAGGGATAGTTGGGTCATCTTTGTTCTGATTGGTGTAGGTTAGTAGCGTGGGTACGGGTGTTCTGGGGATAGGCTTCAGCTGGGTCAGGAGTCAGTCAGGAGTTAGGGGCTTGCAAAACCAGCTGTTGAGCAACCTTCTTTCGCTCTGGCCAGATGTCTTGGCTGACTCTGGTTGGTTATCCATTCTCTGTGGTCTTTCCTGTGACTGGAGTTCCCATTTCTGGAAAGCGGAAACTCAGGCCTACTCGACCTTAGTAAGAGAATGAACCTGTAGGTCAGGCTTATTTGACTGGGCCCTCTCAACATGAGGGTACTTAGATGTGAAGTCTAGGGGTCCTTGTGAGCAGACTGCAGATACAATTGGCACTGCGTGTTAAGTTCACGTGTGCACAACGGTGTGCTTGCTTCCGTGTGCAATAAGCGGGCACACATACCTAATGTGTGTAGGGAAATGTGCTTTCTTGTGGACGGTGTACACTGGATTCACACAGTTTGTCACATAACCACCCTGCGAGGACAACAGGGAAGTGTGCTTAATTGGCTCTCTCTAGAGCTTTGAGGGAGGAGGAAAGCTAAAGCCATCTGCTGGGACCCACCCAGACCTGGCTCAAGATCTGTGCTGGGACATCAAAGCGTGGCCTTTCTCTGCCCCTCCCTCACTTCTCACCTCCTCCCTGCTAGCTCTCTGTGCCAGTCCCTAACTTCTCAGGTCTGCTTTGAACTCCACAGCTTGGGGGGTTCACCCAGGGCAACACCCCCCACCTCTCCCTCTCCTTTTCTCCCTCTCCCTCTCTTTCTCTCTCTCCCTCCCTCCCTCCTTTCCTCTCTCTCTCTGTCCCTCCCTCCTTCTCCACCTCTCTTCCTCACTCTCTGCCATTCCCAAGAGGCAGCCACAGCTGGCTTGTCTGAGGGAAGCTGGGTGTGGGAGGGTAGACCTAGCTACCCACCTCACTCCAGTATGGCCCAGCCATTGTCTTCAGCCTCAGAGAGGCAGCGCAGCGCCACCCCAGCCCAGCTCCTTATCTGACCAAAACCAAATGGTCAGCTTCAGCAATTAAAGCCAAATCCCCCCATAACACCC